AAGTCTGCTAGTGGCATGTATGTATGTATGTATGCATCTGTACACAGTATAGATTATTCCAGTAGCTGGCCTTAGACGGTCCCTCCACTAGCTGGACCAAGATCCCCCCTGGTTTTTTCAATTGCTGGCACCCGAGTGTATAGGCCCCAAAGGCTTGCAGCCCTACTCTAATTGCTGATCCTCAAACTTCTGCTAGTCATTGGTTAGTCCAGCTGGAAGTTCACCAGCCTGTGTGTGCACCCACTCAAAACAGAGAGTGCACCCACACAATCTCAGGCAAGGGTACCGACCAGCTAGCTGTTTACACTCGACTGGTGCATTTTATCCACTTTTCCCTCCGTTATCTCACACTTTTTCAACCCTTTCCCCACCTTTGGTCTCTCCCTTACACTTTCCATAATAAGTCTCACCCATTTGCACAATGCCCTTCAAACATCCCATGATACACAGTTCAAAAATGCTCTTTCCCCTGTGTCTTGTAATGAGTCCCTGTAGCCAGTAACCCACCGGTAGCCAGTTAGCCCACTAGTCTGTAAGGCATTCTGCGACAGCTTCTGCGGTTGACTCATCTTGGTGGGTTTCGCACTCAGACAGTGGATGTCTGCGGTGCTCAACTGTCTCTAACAACTTTTACATGACTGGTGAAATAAGTGTGTGGGAGTTAAAACATATTTCAGGCCACAGGGTTTAACAACGTTTATCCTAACCTGTAAGGAAACAAACCCTTGCCCAAATGCTGCACTCTTCTCAATAATGAACACCATGTTTACTTGACCACTGAACTGGAATAACAATCAACAATAATATAATTATAGTAAATAAGTAGCTACACAGTTTACACCAGATTGCTAATGTAAACCTCCATTAGAGATATTACGTTCCTCTGATGGGAAAATAAAATGGAAATATGGAAAATCTTTTATAGAATTGTGTGGTACTGTATTTTTTCTACGATGCTATTCTGACTTGCATGAACAGTTCCTAACTGAAGGATTTATTTTTTAAATAGACGAGCAGGTGGGAGTCAGGCACAATGAAATTTCCTGCTTCACTAGCTAACCCTATGCAGATTAATGATTCACTTCAGCTCTATCTGAATAATATTAGTGTAGCAAATTATCCTGTACAGTAGGATGCACTTTTCTATGTCTTATGAGGCGTTCATAAGATACAGTGCTGTAACTTATGGAAGTGTTCCTCAAAGTGTGTGCTTTGCAGACTTCACTGCTGAGACAATTACCAATGAAAATGAGACCCAAGACTCATTTTGTTTCTCATCTTGAGCTTCATATTGTCTATAATTTGGGAAAGGCTCAAAAGACTGTTCAGAGTGTTTCCCTCCCACTGCCTTAATGATGCTATGGTCACATGAACAGAGTAAGTGGAAAAAGCACCAGCTGTACTTTGGCAGCTGTGTTAATGGGTTGTCACATGCCACTAGGCATTTTGGTATTGCTCCATGATCACATTCATATCAGCAAACTTTGATTTTCCAGGTTACATTCTATTGGACTTGTACAAAACCAGATGTGCTCTAAGATTGTACAGCTATCACATCATTTGACATACACCACTGTATTGATGCTTTTTAAAAAGTAAACCGGACATGCTCCATGAATCACCCTGGGGAAATACAAGCTCAGTTTTACAACTTACTAGGAGACTGCTCCAGAAACCAGAGTAGGTTCACTTGTTTTGATTGTGAAATAAACACAGTAACAATGGGACACAAATGCAGCAGATGCATTAATATTTGCAGTAACGTCATGCATCAACGATGTATTAAACTTTATCAGTATTAGGGTTCTCATGCAGCTAAGCTCTAGCTGGTAGTTTACAGTAACCAGAATCCTATTGGCTAAGGAAGTCCACAGGAAAGGAAGGGTTACCCTTGTCCCTGGAGAAAGGTGGTTCTTCAGTCAGTTGTAAAAGGGAAGAGTCAATGTTACCTCGATAGCATAGGCTTGCTCTGAGAGCCATAATTCAGCGGCCGTAAATTTTAGTGTCTTTTTTCTGCACTAGTTGTTACTGTTAGCTTGTTCAGAAAGGACATTAAAGGAAAGAATGCATTGTGTTTCTTGTATGTATCATGGCACTATAATGAGCTGGTTGTAACTCATGTAGCTCTGACTTCTCTAAGCTGAGACAGCTGTTTTTCCTAACGTTCGTAGTAAAGCACTGTAAAGCATTGTAGAACTCTGCAAGTTCTGCATGTCCCACAAAGAAAAGGTGTTTCTAAAAAGCATGGATTAGGACCCTCTACCTACCTCAGCCCAGTTGTAGTGAGAAAGATCAGGAATAATATCGAAAAGGGCATGTTTTTGAAGCATCTGCTTGCTCATCTTCCCTTGACTACAATAGGCATTAACAGCCTACCAACATTTAAAAATCTGGTCTGTAGTTCCAGTTCCATATCTCTGCCCACAGAAGAGTGTCTTTATACAAGAGTGTCTTTCAGTTCCACTGGTAAGTGGAGACGCAACGGAGAAAATGAGTTTTGCAGCTCAGTGTGAGGTAGGTAGCTCAGCACTGTGGCAGAAACCACTTCAACAACTCTCAAATGAGAGGCTAAGACAGCAGCAGTGTTCTGGCCCAGGCTGAAAACTCTCTCTGACTAGTAGCTACAAAGAATCGTTTATGTGCGCTATTTTATTTAACAAGGTTTCTTCCTAGTCAAGTTTAGATTGAGAAGAATAATGTCCACCTTACTGTGACCTGCAATATGATGTTTCCTTTCCATTGCTTTTTAAAATAAAACTTTACTGCAGTTTTTTTGTATGAAATATACTAAAAATAATCAAAGGCAAAGGTATATAATAAATTATGGTCAAACAGCACACTATCCCAGAAGATAAAAAACTAGACTTCAAACAAATCTGGAGCAGAATATGCAGGAAATGTTATTAAAATGGGGCCCCAATTTGAAAAGTAATTTTAGAAACTTGCACTCTCCTACTCAGCCTAGTATTTCAAAGCAAGCAGACAAAAAAAGGGCTTCTTGTTGTTTATGCCTCTTGGCCACACAGAGCCAACACATCTCAGAAGTTTGCAGAGCTAAATGTTTTCTGGCTAAAGGCAGTATTTAATATTGAATCTCCTGTGAGGTTTTGCAAATTTTAGGGCTTCCACAGAGGAAACAATAGATGCACACCAAAGACTATGGATATATTGTCAGCTAGGACCTAAACCACAGATCTTCCACTGTGGAAGCCCTAGCAATGAATTTAACTTTAGTTATTATCCCTTCAGCATTTAAGGAATGCTGTTATAATGTTCTCACTGGAGAATTTGGAGTAAAACATAAAAAAAAAGTTTGTAGAAAAAGTACTCTAGCATGAAATCTCTCTTCTGAATGGCTTAAGCTGAAAGCGTTTATATGACTTGACTAGATAATGCAGATGCAAGTAAAAATTACTTACTGCAACGGATTCTGTACTCATGCAAAGAACAATATACAGAATAACCATACAGAAAAGGGAATAAGCTAGTTCATGAAAATATAGCAGTTATTCATTTTCCTTAAGAAATAGTCAATGATTGAGCACTCCAGCTGTTTTATTTAATTTCAAAAAGCTTAATCTTTCTGTGGTGGGGGGGAGGGAGCGAAATCTGAGGGAGGTATTTAAATGTTGTGGATTTTTTTCTATTTATTGCAAATAACTTTTGTTACCATGACTTAGTGTAGAATTTGTGGCCACAGTTGAATGTATCTCTAGATGACACCAGATAAGAGAGGAAAACGCATTCACGAAACAGGACAAATGATTGTATGTGTACTACTGGAACAATGGAATGAAACAGGTTTATCCTTGTCTCTGGAGTTTTTATGTAATGTTATTTAAGAATGAAGTCGATAATCTGAGATAATTCTGCACAAATGCACAGTTACACACATTTTTTTCAGGTTGAAATAAATACAGACTCACCAACTTCTTTATTCCCACTGAAATTCTTTCTTTCAGTAACTGATCAATGTAGGTTCTTCTTTCACCTGCATTCCTAATTGCCTAAATATTTATCAGATTTTCTGTGGACTGTGTTTGAATCAGACAGCTTCTTTACAGTGACTATTCACTATCCAGTTTAGAAAACATGAGGTATTAAATCAACACTCTTTTCTCCATGATGCCCTCTGGCATCCTCATGTGCAAACTCACAGCACTGCTTCTTAAAAACAATAATTTGCTTTACACTCTGCTTTTCTAATGGAAATAGGTGTTTTGTTTCCTTAGCTTTAGTTTTACCCCTGTAGCACCTAGATGTTCCTAGGTACAAAAGGAAACTGCGTCAGTAACATATGTCATTCTGTGGTTGCAAACTATTGTTTGTGGCTTGCATTCACTCAAGCCTGTAAACAGAAGTAAACCTGGATATATCAATTGAAAAGGCGGGTGAAATGGACCATTATGAGCATTGATTACATGCTTCCATTCTGTTTATACTCATATTTGATATATCTCTGTCCTATAAAGTTTATTTATTGCCACTGTGCAGAGCCATTTGATTTAACCAAGAATATTTTATAGAATGATGTGATTACCTTTCAGTAGCTTAAACGTATGTTACTTCTTAAGAGCCATAAAGTTGTGACAAGTTTGGTAAACATTACAGAAAGTATATGTCTATAAATATGCATACAGAAACATAACCATTTGTACAAATTGAAAATACTTGAAAATAAACTTTATAAACATTTGACTGAAGCCGCAGCTTTACAATTATCTAGTAAGTTATGTGGAATTCAGAGTGCTTTTTAATTCTGTTTACAAATCTCTGCTGTCTTAATGCAGCTTAGCTTTTTTAGAAATGTTAATGCAGTGAATTTATTTCTATAGTTGAAGAATTTCAATAGAATTTGAAGCCATATCGCATTCCTAGGGAAAAATTTTCAGACAAAACCTTATCATATTTACTTTTTTTAGTTTGGTAGGTAATAAGAAAATTGAACGGATTTATAATCATATGTTTACATGCATTTTAACAATTTGGATATGTTACAGATTTTTCAGATCGCGTATGTTATTGTGAAAGCAGCTAACTCACCTCGACCTGGGAACTGGATATTAGAGCGATCACTGGACGGTGTGAACTATCAGCCATGGCAGTATTATGCTATCACAGACAGCGAATGCCTGACACGCTACAATATTCATCCTCGTCCTGGAACTCCATCCTATATAAAAGATGATGAAGTTATATGCACTTCTTATTATTCCAAGATCCACCCTCTGGAGAACGGAGAGGTAAGATCAGATGTTATTCCATAGCCAGGAACCCTGCAGAAAAAAATATTGCTCTGAACTGACAAATTTTTGCCCTAAGTAGACAATGAATGTCTCCGTATGTATGCTTGAAAAATGGGGAGGTACTCTCGTTTGCTGTTATAAAAAGTAATCATATGTGGTCCTATTCAAAGGGGTAAGATATAAACTCTAATAAGCTTATTCTACAAGGTAAACCAGGAGGCAAAAGGGTTACTAGGTGGAACTAAGCTCTAGTACTTTCAGATAACTTCAGAAAGTTGAAATACATTCTGGCATCACTTGTCAGCACAGATAAAAATACTGGGAAAAATCATGGATCCAGTGAAGTCGTTAAAAGATTTTTTGTGCAAGTCACATTTTCAGTCCCACTGTATCAGTTGGGCTGCTAAATGGTCATAGTTTTATTCAATGAGTTTAATTTATGGCACATATATTATACACACACATACACACACACACACACACACACACACATACATATATATGTTTACTCATTGAACAGCTTCTGACTGACCCTCTGCCCCTGCACAGGCCCTGTTCATTCTTTCCCTGGTAGAGGCCCCTGCTCTTTCATTGTGAGGCCAGCCACGTGAATCGCAGACCAGTCATTTTGGTTTAACCAAGGCTATAGAAAAGATGTGGTGGAGGTGAGAATGAGAAACAGCGGTTGACGGAGCTGTGCCTTGCCTGTGCTTACAAGGCAAGTGTAACAACTGTAGTGAAGTACAGTCTTTTCAGCCCCTTAAAATGGAGAGAGGGTTGTGTATGCACACCAAATTCCAACAACTGTGTATTCGTCCCTGTGTTTTTTCAACGCTTGCTACTTTTGCGGATAACTTGGTAATTTAAGGAAATAAAGTGACTTGAATGTGGACTAGATCTGAAATATTTATTTACTTACAGATTCTTTAACGGCTAGTGATGTCCTGTGAAATGTTGGTTTCAATATTTATCTTTCTGCGAAATTTTTCCTTTCTGTTGTTTTAATTGTAAAATGGTTTATCTAAAGGGGTGAAAACGTACTCTCTTCTGCTTCTTTAATATGCAAAGCAACATTCACGTGCAAATCATTACTACAATTGTTTCTATGTTCTGGGTATTGATATGTGCATGTTGCTCATGTGCACAGGCAATTTTCAGTGCCAGCTTCAAAAACAGAAGAATGCAGCTTCCAGTACAAATATCCTGTTGGTATATTTAAAAAAAAATGTAAGCTGGGATCTAAAGGATGCTGGAATGAATTATCAGATATGAAATCAGTTGCACTTTTAAGAAAAGCTACTACTTTTACTACTTTCTGTGAACATAGTTGTATCATTTGAATGGGTGTTTATTCTTGTAAAATCTAGCATCAGCAGATGAAGTGGTATTGTAAGAAATAGTGCATACATAGGTGGTATGTTTTGAAAATGTCTCCAAGTAGGTGCTTCCTGAGGAGTGAACAGAACATGCAAATTAGCAGTTTATCACTTACAAAGAAATTTGATGGTTTCATTTGAGAGAATATTTCTGTAATGAAAACATAATGCCAAAGTAATTATTCTATTTACATTGTTCAGTTTCTTTGATAATGTAGTTCTCTTGCAGACACATATTAATTCTGGTAGCCTGCTGACCTCTTGGTTTTGTTGCTAAGCCAGTGCCTCCTTGTGTTCTTTGTTTAGTTAGTATGAGTTAAACAGCAAAGGGCCTTGATTCAGCATCCCCATATATATCCTTGACTTAAACATCCGCTTAAGTCCTATTGACTGTAGTGCAACTTAACTCTTACATTAAGTGTGCACTTCAGCATTTTTAACTGGGCCTGATGTGCTCTACTTGGTGTTCTTCTCTGAACCTAGTAAATGATGAGCATCTGATACACAGTTTCTTTAAATGGGAAGAAGACTGGGAGGAAAGGAAGGATTCATCTGTTGAACTCTAGTTAGCAGAGCAGAATTTTTAGATATAGGCGTAGTCTATGAAAGATTTATCATTTAGGCCGCCATAAACAGCTAGTTATTAATCTGAGATATAGCGCTAGTAGAGACAGAACATTTTGATAAGAAAAGCCTGAAGTTTAATTTATATAGCCACTGGAAGAGTATGATTCCACATAAATTAATAAGCTTACATTTTTTATAGTACTCTTCTCACAGGTAGAACACTAGTCTTATCTCTCTGACTAGCGACAAACTGCATTATAAAATACACAGCAGCCAGGTTAATCCTTTTTCATGTTCCATCTAACATGGAACATGAAAAATAATACAGTTCATACCAATGTCAGATTTACTTGCAGTTGCGTTGCAGGAGTTACCTGACTGTCTCCCAGTCTTCCAATGGAACTACATCTGCATATCTTTTACTTTTGTTCCAGAGTAGAGCTTTTGTTATATGTACCAGATATTACAGGGAAAATTTTCTGAGACTGACAGAATTACAAAATGTTTCTTAAATATCTTTCCTCTGCTTAAAAATGCTTGAGCTATTTAGGCTACACCGTTCTGGTGTGTGTTCAGGAAACCTGAGCAAGTACAGAAGTGGAAGTTTACAGTCCAGTCCCAAAGCCAAATCTTTGTCTACGGTAGCATTTTAAGTTGAAACTTGGTGACTTAGAAGAAGTGGGATACTTTCTTTTCATCTATGCCTTCTATTAACATTTTGGTCAGTGACTTGATTGGTAAGACTATTTCTAGAAATCTATATTTAAGCAAAATAGAGTTTGGAGTTTTAATAGTGTGACCGTTTGCACCAGAAATAGCTTTTTAAAATGTTCTCCTGGCCAAATCATAGAATTAAAAAAAAAAACAAAACACATAGTTTATGTTCAGGTTAGTCTAACCAACACAAGCTCAAGTTCCTCTCAATTGAATATGAGTAAACAATCCATAGACCAGGAATTATTTGCATAAAATGATTGTATTGAATATTTTCATGAATTAATCAGAAATTGCATAGCAGCATCTTGTGAATCGTAAAAAAATGAGCTATTCTATATCTGAAATAAGGAAATTTCTCTCAAAAGTGTAGACTTAAATATAGAAAAAATATTAAAATATTAATTTCCAAACTGTTTCAGATCATTGATATCTAAAAATTGTAAGAAGGTTAGGACACCTTTTATATCACACTGCAAAGGCAGGCTTTTAGCATTTATGTTTCTGGTATGCCATCAATAAATGAAAAGGCTGAAATTTTCCAAAATACTATTTCAATATGAAAAGGCAAGTTCCACTAGCTCAGTGTCCCCAGCCCAGGAAAAGAATATCTCTTTCTCTAATTAATGAATTATTCATTAACTTTAACTTAATTGATGTCTCTTCCTTTAATAGTAATTTGTTTGGCACTAACAAGGAAAGAGTTATTTATGTAAGGGGAAATAACTGTCAAGATATGGCTGCTATTTTTGGGAAGAGAAGAATGACCGTTTTGTGACACTTTCATCTTTACTTGAACACCATATCTGGATGGTATTTGTTTTTGTTTTTTCTCAAATCATCATTAGTTTGAGAAATAAAAATTAGTGTGTTACCAGAGTGATTTTTGCTTCATTTCCCTGACATAGGAGTTTCTGATATTTACATCTAATTTGTACCTTTTTTATTAAAATCTCTTCCTTCTTCTACTAGACTAGTGTTTGTGTCACAGCTTGTGTATTTTGGTGGCCAGGTGGATGTAAAATTCTGGACATAAACTTTAATATCACAATTTTTTCTGTGAGCTGTCTAGAGCTTTTAGTTAGTCATTGCTTGTTTGAACAAGCATGTGTAATGTATATATTCTGATGCGTGTAATCTTACCTTCTGCTTGTCATAGATGTTTCAAGGCTAGACTCTCTGAAGATTGAAGGCGCTCCAGCTGCTTGCTGTAACTTTAGGAAAATGTACATCTTTCCGTAGAAAATGAAACATTCTACCTGAGCTGCAGTTTGAAAGAGAATCAAATCAGGAAATTGCACTTAGAAAAAAAGCATTCTTCAGTCATATGTTGATTTTTAAGTACTTAGTGTAGGCTAGGAGAAAATACTTAGATGAAAAATAATAGTTTTATCATTTTTTTCTCATACAAGCAATTCTTTTTGTAAGCAGACATTGAAACTCAAATTTAGTGAGGACAAAGGGAGAGAGGTTTAATTAGACCCTGATACAAAAGCACTTGCTTTTATGGAGAAGCCAAGAAGAAAAAAATCTCATCCTCTGGGAAACCTTGAGATTCTCCACAGTGTGGCTTTCTGAAAGTATCAAAACCAAGAGAAGGATGTGAATTAATTCCCTCTTTGGTAAATCTTAATCAGAATAGCCTGCTGTCTACATAGTTTATGTCAGTGTGATCACATACAGGAATTCTAACAGAAAGGTGTTTTTTGAATTATAATCATTCTTGATGCATAGAAGTTAGGTAAACTTACAAGAAAAATAAATCTCTCCTTTGCGGCTAGAATATGTTTCATGTTCTGTTACATTTCATTTTTCATGGAGAATAAAACTGAGGTGTATATTAGCTGCATCAGAATGCTGTGAGCATCAGTCCCTGGTAATTGCTGCAATGCTAGTTTGGTATCATGAGGAGAAATCCGTAAATGTATGTCTGCCATAACCTGTAACCAATGAGGAAAGCCATACATTTATATTCAACCTGACCACGCAATGGGGAGGTGAAATTTTAGGATTCCGTAAGTATTTTCTTTTACTGAATGAGAGAAACAAAAATTCTCTCTGTGAGAATTCTCTCTGTGCAACCCTTCTCTGTGAAATGCTTTTCACGTGTCATTTTCAGATGTTGAGAATGATCTACCTTGATTTTAAAGATCTAAAAATTGGAAAGCATTAGCCGTATGGTTGAAGGAAAGTGATGTGATTATAGAAAGTAAAATACCACCTAATTGCAGTATGCCAACTGTATCAAGTTTCTAAAATGGTTATCTAAACACTTTAGATTGAACCTAGCCCTGGTTGTTCTTATTTGTTTTCAACTAGTGGCATTTGGAAAGCAATTGA